GAGGGATGAAGAGGATGAAACATGAGAGGATCTGCATTTTATGTTCTTTCCACAAAGTGGCCAAACCCTCTTGTCCATTTATGGGGATGGATGGAGGCCAATGGGAGAATTGCTCCAAATGAGATACTCTTTGGAAGAATGCAAGGACAATTTCTTTAATGAGGCTCTTTAAATGATCTACTTGCATTACCAATCACCCAAAACTCTTATCAGGAAGGTATTTAAGAATTCAAGCACACAAAGATCCCTTCACATTTCCCAAAAGAAGCATCTCTCACCTGGGACCCTTTCTGAGCAGTGGGTCGGACTAGAAGACCTCCAAGGTCCCTTTCATTCTATTCCGGCTTCTCTGCCACGCTCACCAGGAACCTCTCAGCCACTGGCACCACCGGGCAACTGGTCTCCGCTAGCTCTCCAAAAATCCTTCCAATCTTGGAAGTTGAACCTGAAGCAAGTGGTCCCTTTAGGCTGCCTCTCCCCTCCCCCCCCCCTCAACTTTCTCCCCTCCCCCGTTGTTAGATCTCCTGCATGCACAGCCCGGAGCAGTTATGGGGTGGATTCCCCGCTCCCTCCAAGCCTCGGGATTCGAAGTCTGTTTCTCCTTCCCTGGGGAGGATCTGAGCCGCGGGACCCCCCCCCCTTGCCCTCCCCCCGCCCCCAGAGTCCCGGGGAGGAACTCACAGGCGGCAGTCTCCCGACCACGCAGAAAGAATCGAGCATGCGCAGTGGCGTACAGTCAGTCTGCAGCCCAGAGAGCGCCGCCTGCTGGGAGCTGCGATGAAATCACGGCCATGGGAGCAACCTTGGAGTCTATCCAGCCCAACCCTCTGATCGGCGCCGGTTCTGCTCTGGAAGACGAGCTGTGCCATTTAGCATGCGGTAAACGCCGTGGGGAGATGACAGGCTTCCCTTGCAGAAAGTCACCCGGAGAGGATACGGATTCCGTCCTTTGGGGAGCCGATCGATTCTCTCCATCCCCTTCCTCTCGCGCTCTCTTCCTCTCCCTTTCTTTCCCTCCCTCTCCCGTCTCTGTCTCTTTCCCTTTTGCTCCCTCCCTCCCTCCCTCTGTCTGTCTCGCTTGGCCTCTCTCCCACTCGCTCTCCCTCTTGCTCTCCCTCTCTCGCTTCCTCTCTCTGTAACTCTCTCTTTCTCTCTCTCTCTCTCTCTTGGCCTCTCTCTCTCTTGGCCTCTCTTTCCCACTAGCTTTCTCTCTTGGTCTCTCCCTCTTCCTCTCACTTTTTTTTTCACTTTCTTTCTCTTTCTTTCCCTCTCTCCCTCCTGTCTGTCTACCTCTCACAACCTCTGGCAGAACTTGACATCTTGTGGTGCTTTTGATATATTTTGAGAGCTTGATGCCTGCTGATGTTTCCCTCTTTTGTAACCACATCCTCATAAACCTGTGATCAGAGTTGTCAGGACCACATCCTTTTCGTCTTCTCCTCCTTCACCTTCCAGACCAGATGAAGAAGCCAGGAGGAGCAATCCCTGTTTCCATCCTCCAAACATCCCATAAAAGCCTGCCTGAAGTGACAGATTTCACCCAGATTATTTTTTATACCTATCCATACAAAAATCCCAGGCGATACATCAATATTTCCCTAAGAAATGAGAATGCAGACTCAAGTCATGGATCAATCCAGCTTCAGTATTGATATAATTTGTAATAATTTTGCAATTAAGGAGGGGAAAAGAACAGCCAATACCTACAAGATAGAAATAATATAAGAATCAGAATCACCCCAGTTCCAAGGTCCCCTTCAGCTTTGGTGCACATAATGAGGGTAAGACTCCCCCATCCCAGTCCCGGTTCCTCAGTTTCTGCTTCAAAGGACTTTCTGGTTTTTTTTTTCCTTTGAAGACATTTTGCTTCTCATCCAAGAAGCTTCTTCATCTCTGACTACTCCCCACCATCCAGTCAGAGCTGACTAAGCTTTTCTTCAACGAAAGTCCAGGTGCCTCCTGAAAAAAAAGCACTTCTGGGGCTCCAAAAGCTTTCTCCGACAGGGAGAAATTAAGAACATTCTGCTCGGAGACAGATGACTCAACAGAAGGGAGGATTCTCATTGGCGCAACCTATTCCTGGCAAGCCAACTCCAAAGTCCCCCTATTGCTGCTGGTGGCCCAGCTGGCGAGGATTTATTTATTTATTTATTTATTAAATTTATAAACCGCCCCACTCCCGCAGGACTCTGGGCGGCTAACAATAAAAACAACATAAAACATGACAAAACAAACAGTACAATAACAGTCATCCAGAGGTCAGATTTTATAAACCCCAGGCCTGCCGGAAAAGCCAGGTCTTAAGCAGCTTAGGGAAAACCAACAGGGTGGGAGCGGTCCTTATCTCCAGGGGGAGCTGGTTCCAAGACGTGGGCGCCATCATAGAGAAAGCCCTCCTCCGCGGCCCCGCCAAATGGCACTGCTTGGCCGACGGGACCCGAAGGAGGCCAGCCTGTGGGATCTAACCGGACGAAGGGAACTATGAGGTAGAGCAGTGATTCTCAACCTTTCTAATGCCGTGACCGCATAATACAGTTCCCCATGTTGCGGTGACCCCCAAGTGGGTGTGGCCACCAATAAGAGGGAGTAGGACAGCTAGGGAAAAGGGAAAAAAATGGCGGACAACATGGTTTGGTGACCCCCGTGAAATGGTCATTTGACCCCAAATGGGGTCCCGACCCACAGGTTGAGAACCACTGAGGTAGAGGATCCCTCGAAGGGAAGGGGAAGAAGGAGAACTCCCCCCAGAAGGGGAAGAAGGGGGGCTGGGCCCCCAGGAGAGGCGTTGGAGAAAAGGTTGCAGGACAAGGGGGTAGGACTTTGCAAGGCTCCTCCCCTCTCCCCTCCCTTGTGACCATGCCCCTCCCAGTGTGATTCCCTCAGACAGCGAGGTGGGAAAAAGCAGGAAAGACCGTTGAAAGAAAGAGAGATACGGTTCTGAAGCAAGACCCGCCATCGGACTTCTTCGGGGCTCCTCGGAGATGGCCTCGATTTCCTTTTATTGGTTAGACTCTGGATGAGGCCTCCTTCGGGGCCCCTCTTCTCCCTCGGGGCCCCCCTCCAGAATCCTTTTCCAGCCCGAGACTCTTGGGGGCCCCATTATGTCTAAAGGCGTTGAAGTGTCTCCGATTCAGGCAGCCCAACTGAAAAAGGAGCAGGACCACGTGTGGGAGGGGCAGCCCCATTGATGCTGGGGATCTGGAGGGGAGAAAGGGACTGCGACCCCTCTCCCGGAGAGACGTTGGGGAAGTCTGAAGGGTGAGGGAGGGGCAGGAGGTTGCAAGACCCCTCCCCTTCTGACCACCACCCTCCCACTGAAGCATGACAAGGCGGTCCTTGTGTGGTGGGAGGAACCTCTTTGCTGGCTGGGGGGAGGGGAAAGAGGTCCCCCTAGGGAAGCACCACTATTGGGGCTCTTTGTGGCTCCCAAGGATACACCTGACTCCTTTCTCTCAGTCTGACTCTGAATTAGGCCTCCCTTACTTTTCCCTCAGGGGCCCCCTCCAGTCTGCCTCAAGAGCCCCTTTCTACCCTCTCAAACCTGGGGGTGGCATCACATCCAAACACTTTAAGTCGTCCCTGATTTATGCAGGCCAGATAAAAAAACCCAACCCAAAAGGAGAAGTACCACAATTTTCACCGGCTCAATTCAGCACTTTTTCTGATGGGAAAATCCCCTCCCCCCTTGGGGCCACCCCATGGCTGAGGCAGAATGACTGGGAGAATCCCCAGATCCCGGGAGATGATCCCATTCAAGGCCTTGGCTTCCATTTGCCCCTCAAAACCCTTCAAAATAATAATGGTATCTCTTACAGGTCTTCAAAGGGAAGGTGGAATTGCTGGCTGGAGAATAAGAAATGCTTTTATTTAATTTATATATTATTTAATTGTATAGAATGGGAAAATAAATGTCTTCCCACTTAATACCCCCACACACCCCCTTGAAGCACAAATCCTTGCCTGCCACTCAAAGGCCAAATGTCCATTCAGACTAGAAAGCGGCAAAAGGCTTTCAGTTCTCTGGTTCCCATTTAGGTTCTTTGATGTAAAGGAAGAAGATATTGTTGGCTGAAGCACTATCAATGCTGCATGGATTATCTCCACAGATGTAAAACTGTACAATTAGGAAAATTCTAAAAAATGCCAAGATTTTAGAATGTGGAATGTTCCCACATTTTATAGGCTACAATTTCTTTTCATAGAGAAATCTACCTTGCTAATGCTTTTGTCATTCCATGGTTTTCTATGCATCATTGTGCAACGTGAAACTGAATCAGATCTGAATTCATTCCACCTCCTTCTACCACTTTGTAACTTTTTATTACACACACACACACACACACACACACACCCTCCCCCCGATAGGTTCTACGTATTCATCTGTTTTCTTCGTTTAGGTTTTTTGTTCAATGTGTATTAAGTAGGGCATCATTTACAATGTGCCACAATTGTTTCTGATAATTTATTAGCCTTTCAGAATTAGAAAGCTTGTTAATAATCAGGAAATATGTTTTCTGAAAAGCTGTATTAAGATAAAAAGCAGAAAGTCACATTCATGCTAGTAACGATTTTCTCCAAAACCATAGCAATGCTATGGTCCCCTAACGCGTCATGTACGATTGACCTTTCTGATCAACTTGGCAGCACAAAATTAAATCGAGGGACTAAAGTGACATGTAAAAACCTTGAGAAATAGAAAATACAGTACAGATTAATCTGAGAAACTAAACAATGAATAATTTAAATCAAGCAATTTAAGTCTTTTAAAAAAACATTGCTCATATAGTACATTGTTGGATCAATAAAGCCATTTATAACGTCCCTTTCAGCTAGGTTAATGCAATTTTGCACCAGACTGGACTGTACATATAAACAGTTGGGAGACATTTTCACTTGTAAACCAAATTTTTACCCATACAGTATATGAAGAAAAAAGCTTAATACCTTACTACTGTCATTGTTCCAACAGACAGAGACGAATAAAGCAGGACTCTGAGCAGTGCCATTTCCTCAAAAAACATGTTTATTGTTACAGACTATCCAGGGTCAAAAGTGAAACCAACACTAAAGTTCCTTCCAAAAAGTTACATTATTACAAAGTTAAAGTTCCCGCCCCAGTACTATACAATCAACTACATTTCCCAATAGAATAGTTTGGCAGACTTTCTTATACTACACCCAATCCCCAATTGTGGGAGCAATAGATGACCTTGATTCCCATGGGACAAAACACCTGGACAAGCCCCCCCTTCCTCCGTTCCATGTGGCAACTTCAAACAAGGGGGGAAATGGCTGCAGCCAGGCTCATTTGAGAAGTTGACAGCTATATGTTTAAAGAAAGCCAGTATTTTTAACCCAATTAGAACTAAAATGAACACACAGAGACACACTTCCCCTTCTTTGGCTTGCATACACTAGATCTTCACAAAGCTTGGAGGCTGATCTCAGACTCACTTCAGATGTTGCTTCTGCCTAAATAAAGCAGCTTGACCAAACAGAGGTTTTGGAGTAATGAGAGGGGCAATTGTTTAACAGGTTTTCTTGAGAAAATTAATCAAATGGGTAATACCTCTGGATTAAGAACTCTTATCCTGGCAGCTTTCCAAAATCCAGATACATTTATTCACTGCTCCTATGGCAATCCTCTGAAAGAAGGAAGAGTGTTCTCCACATTTTTACACAAATGTTATTCTTTTTACACTCCATATTTTTAGATGGTTTCACGTCATAGTGGATCCTTTTATGCAAATTAAGGACACTTCAGTCCCTAAAGCAGAGTTCCGGGAACAGGGGGAGGGGAAAGGATGGTTTTGTGGGGGGATGAACACTGGGTGTACGTGCACACAAACACCCACTGCTTTTGTGAGTGTGGTTTTGAGTGCCCAAGATGACATTCATGAAAGTGGGGCACCAAATGCCTACGATGCTTGTGGAGACACTTGTGCGACTGGTGCAGCAAACACCTGTGAAGCTCGTGACAAGGCTTGCATGAGCGTGGCCACAAACGCCGACTTTCACAATGCTCACGTGAGTGGGGCTGTGGGTGCACACACACACACACATACACAATGGCCAGACACTCAGGTAGACCAGCGGCCAATAGGCCATGACCGATAGTAGGAAACAGCCCACAGATTAGGGACCCTTGCCCTAAAGGGATCTCCCTCCTGACTTGTATGTATCCCTGATGTGAGTCATATTAATTTGGGAAATAATTTGATTGCTTTACACAGGATATTTTTCCACCCTCTGTGGATTCTTTCTTGAGAGGCATCCTCTTTTCACCAAAACTCCTTCCGCATTGCAAACATATCTATTTCCCTGCTGTGTGGATCCGCTTATGGGAAGTAAGGTGTCTTTTTAATCTGAAGCTCTTCCCACACTCTGAGCACAGATGCAATTTCTTCCGTTTGTGGGAATTAATGTGGTAAGTAAGGGAGCTGCTTGAACTCAAACTTTTCCCACATTCATTGCATACATACAATTTCTCTCCCGTGTGGATCCTGTTATGGGAAGTAAGGGTGCGGTTATCACAGAAGCTCTTTCCACATTCCAGGCATTTATAAAGTTTCTCTCCTGTGTGGGTCCTTTTATGGTAAGTCAGAGAGCCACTGCGAGCAAAAGTCTTTCCACAGTCTGTGCATCTATAAGGTTTTTCCCCTGTGTGGATCCTGTGATGGGAAGTAAGTTGACTGCTTTGGCTGAAGTTCTTCCCACACTCAATACATTTATAGGGTTTCTCTCCTGTGTGGATCCTTTCATGAGAGGTAAGAGAAGTCTTTATACTGAAGCCCTTTCCACACTCTAGGCATATGTAGGGTTTCTCTCCCGTGTGGATCCGTTTATGGCAGTTCAGGTGACTGCTGCTTCTGAAGCTTTTTCCACACTCTATGCACTTATACGGTTTTTCTCCTGTGTGGACCCTTTTATGAGAAGTAAGAGAACTATTTACTCTGAAGCTCTTCCCACACTCCAAGCATTTATAGGGTTTCTCTCCTGAGTGGACCCGTAAATGAGAAGTAAGAGAACTCTTTACTCTGCAGCTCTTCCCACACTCCAAGCATTTATAGGGTTTCTCTCCTGTATGGATCCGTTTATGGGAAGCAAGGGAACTGAATGTCCTGAAGGGTTTTCCACATTTTGTGCATTTATAAGGTTTTTGGCCTGAATGGATCCTTTTGTGGGAGGTCAATTGATGACTAGTTCTGTAGCTCTCTCCACACTCAGTACACTTATAGGGTTTCTCTCCCGTATGAATACTTTTATGGGAAGCAAGGCCACTGCTTTGGCTAAAGCTCTTTCCACACTCCATGCATTTATAGGGTTTCTCTCCCGTATGGATCCTGCTATGGGAAGTAAAGTTACTCTTCACACTGAACCTTTTATCACAGTCCACACATTTATAAGGTTTTTCCCCTGTATGGATCCTTTTGTGGGATTTCAGACAATTTCTGGTCCTGAACCTCTTTCTACACTTCATGCATTTGTAAGGTTTCTCTCCAGTGTGGATCATTTCATGAGAAGTAAGAGAAGTCTTTATAGCGAAGCTCTTTCCACACTCCATGCATTTATAGGGTTTCTCTCCCGTGTGGATCCGTTTATGGAGGTTCAGGTGACTGCTGCTTCTGAAGCTTTTTCCACACTCCAGGCATTTATACGGTTTTTCTCCTGTGTGGACCCGTTTATGAGAAGCAAGGGTAGAACTTCGTCTAAAACCCTTCCCACATTCTATGCATTGGAAGGGTTTTTCTCCTGTGTGGACCCGTCTATGACAAGTAAGAGAGCTCTTTCCACGGAAGCTCTTTCCACACTCCAGGCATTTATAGGGTTTATAGGGTTTCTCTCCTGTATGGATCCTTGTATGGGAAGCAAGACCACCACCTTGGCTAAAGCTCTTTCCACACTCCATGCATTTAAAGGGTTTCTCTCCCGTATGGATCAATTTATGTGTAGTAAAAGCAGTGTTCGTCCTGAAGGCTTTTCCACAGTCTACACATTTATAGGGTTTTTCCCCTGAATGGATCCTTCTATGGCATATCAGGTAACTACTAGTCCTGAAGCTCTTCGCACACTGTAGGCATTTAAACGGTTTTTCTCCAGTATGGATCCTTCTATGGGAAGTAAAGGAACTCTTCACACTGAACCTTTTACCACAGTCCACACATTTATAAGGTTTTCTGCCTGTATGCATGCTTTTGTGGGATTTGAGACACTCCCTTTTTCTGAAGCTCTTTGCAAACTCTAGGCACTCATAGGGTTTTTCTCTGGTGTGGATTCCTTTATGAGAAGTAAAGGAACTGTTTGAACTGAATCTTTTCCCACAGACCGTGCACTTATAGGGCTTTTCCCCTGACTGTATTCTTTTATGGGAAGTTAGATGACCTCTCCACCCAAAGCTTTTTCCCCAGTCCACACCTCTGTAGGGCTTCTCCGTTGCCTGGGTCGTTTTATGGGGAGTAAGTTTATTACTGCTGAAGCTCTTTCCAGTTTTGTAGTGGTTACTAAAATTGGGGTTTGCTTTGAATCTTTTTCTTCTTTGACATTTCCCTGTATTTTCTTTGGAGTCATCTTTGGTCAGCAAGCGATCCATTTCCACACATTCAAGAACAGATTTTTCTCTCCAAGTGTGCTTCTTTTCACGTTTCCTCCTCTCCCGTTGATTTGTAGGTGTCTCTTCAGGTATTTCAGTTTGGACGATTTGCAATTGCATTGAATTTGGCTCTTGGTGATTTTCCTTCTGCACATCCAATGCTTAAGGGGGAAGAAAAATGAATTAGAATAATCCACAACGTACAATTTGCTGTCTCAATGCATAGATTTATCTATTACTGGGCATCTGCGGAGAAAGAAACGGGGGAAAGGACAACATGAATATTAGTTATTAACTTAAAAGACTAGCGTGGCTGCTGATCTAACCCTCATTCTTGGCAGTTAAAAATTTAAAGCAAGAACAGGTCTTGACGTCAGGACATGGCACACATATTGTCTCACATATGATGCATAAGTTACAGTCAATAAGACAACATATGTCATTGCAACATGAAGCAAGACAAAATTTATTCCCGATTAGGACAACCGCAATAGGCAAAAACATCCTCTCCCAAAAGCTCTGCAGTGATGACATGGCCCAGAATGACCACAAGACCGAATGTCAACCCTTGCCAGAATGACTGATCACAGCACTGATCTCTTTCTTCTTAATGAAATTGTGCTACTTAGAGGACTATGAGCACAGACTGGAATTAATGTAAGAGGAAAAAGAAAAGATGAAATAATTTTGTACAAGATACCTATTGAGGTAAGTTATGGCTAAATTGTCTAGTCACTCCTTGCTCTGAATTAATTTCCCTCCAGAGGAACCCTTACCCAAAGAGGCCACCATCCCTGACATTTCCAACATGACTTCTCGATGCAGGGCTTTCTCGCTGGGATCCAGCAGCGACCACTCTTCGCCACTGAAATGGACGGCCACCTCCTCAAAGGACACAGGACCCTGAACAAGGAAGAATCCCTGTGAGCAGACTTGATAGAATTTGCGAGATCTCCTTTCATCCGCAAATCTGAATAGCACAAAGGGAAAATTCTTCACTGGACATTTCCCTAGCCGGACTCAACACATTACATGCTAAAATGGGCAAAATTCACAGCCTACAGCAGACAGCTAATTAGGGCATGACTGACTCTGCTGACCTTCAGTGCCATCAACCTGCCTTGATCAAGTGGCAGAGTGGGCCTTAGACACACCATCTACCAATGCTCCACCATTTCATGATGTTTGCAAGAGATTCTGTGGGGTTTCTGCCTGACACAGTAACCAAATCGTCTTTGTGGTTCTTTGACGGACCAGCCCTGCTCTCACTCAGGAACATTCATGAAAATACAAGGAAGGCACTTCCGGGCATCAAGATGGAGATGATACACAAAGCAGTTTCTGCTCCTCCTGTTTTTATCCCTTTCCCCAATGATACAAAAACAAGATTATACTTACAATAAAGTAGATTTAGCCTAATTATTCATGTGTCCTGTCTGCTTTACTTGGGATAGACAAGGTAGCATTTTTTGAAACCAGAATGATATAACCACTAAGGAATTCTAGACATTTCCAAAAGTTGTTGAGAGGTGGGCTACTTTGACTGATCATGAATTTAAATTTGTAATTTCCTTGTTGTGCTTTGCTCACGAATAGCAGTATTGTATGTTGGGTCCTCAAAGGAAACTAGAGGTCTCCTACTGCTCCCCCATATTAGCTGCTGATGTCTTCCTTCCTACCTGAGTTGGGAATCTTTCAGCTCCACCAACAGAAGGAGATGATTCAGTTAACGGTGACTCCATTTCATCCACTGGGAAGGAGAGAGACAGGATGAAAACAGGAAAGGCTGCAACTTCATCTTTTCTAGCTTGAAGACAAACTGAAGATTTCTTGCTGTCCTGCCCAGGAAACCTCCATTGGCCTCTTTTACACTCTCCCTTCGATGGCCTTTCATAGGCTCCATCGTGGGAGCCAAGAAGAAAAGGAGAAGACCAAAGCCCACCACACAGTGAAGAACAAACCTCAATTGGATTGTTCTCCTATCCTTTCAGAACAACACATGGAAGTACATTCTTGGCAACCAAAGCATTCGCTCAATCACTGCAAATTCTTCCCTGCAGCTTGAAGCCATCATGGAAGAACAATTTGTGAAATTCTAGCAATCCAGGAACATACCTGCAAGGACAGGTGGTGTTAGAAATGGTCCAGCAGGGATCTGTGTAGAAATTTAGTCAAAATTATCTCTTAAGGAAGGCCAAAAAACGGGTTGCTCTCTTCTGCATCATTGAGAATAAAGAGAAATCTCTCATCACGGAGGGAATTCCTTTGTGCGCATTAAGTCTTCTAGCTTGAAGAGGGAGTTATTGCTTTCTTATTTTGTCACCTTCTACTCAATACAATGACAAAGACACAGAGAATTAAGGATAATGAGAATCGTTCCAGAAAATCTCCAATCCAGCACAAGGGTATTCCCTCACGTAGTGAGATTTCCTGACATTGGCTTTTCTCCTTGGGGATCCCTCTGAAAGACAGATCACGAGAAAGATTTGTGGGATCCACCCAATTAGTCCCCATTCCTGGAAGGACCTCAGAACGTGAAATAGAAGCAAAGAAGAGGGCTGAAGAGGATGAAACATGAGAGGATCTGCATTTTATGTTCTTTCCACAAAGTGGCCAAACCCTCTTGTCCATTTATGGGGATGGATGGAGGCCCATGGGAGAATTGTTCCAAATGAGATACTCTTTGGAAGAATGCAAGGACAATTTCTTTAATGAGGTTCTCTAAATTATCTACTTACATTATCAATCACCCAAAATTCTTTCAGGGAGATATTTAAGAATTGAAGCACACGAAGATCCCTTCATATTTCCCAAAAGAAGCATCTCTCACCTGGGGCACTTCCGGAGCAGGGGGTCGGATTAGAAGACCTCCAAGGTCCCTTTCATTCTATTCCGGCTTCTTCTCTGACACGCTCACCAGGAACCTCTCAGCCGCTGGCATCATCGGGCTACTGGTCTCCGCTGGCTCTCCAAAGAACCTTCCCGTCTTGGAAGCTGAATCTGAAGCAGGTGGTCCCTTTAGGCTTCCTCTCCCCTCCCCCCTCTCTCTCAACTCTCTTCCCCTCCCCCCTTGTTAGATCTCCTGCATGCACAGCCCGGACAAGTTATGGGGTGGATTCCCCGCTCCCTCCAAGCCTCTGGATTCGGAGTCTGTTTCTCCCTCCCTGGGGAGGATCTGAGTCGCTAGACCTCCCCCCTTGCCCGCCCCCCCCCCCAAATTCCCGGGAAGGAATTCACAGGCAGCAGTCTCCCGACCACGCAGAAGGAATCGAGCATGCGCAGTGGCGTAGTCAGTCTGCAGCCCAGACAGCGCCGCCTGCTGGGAGCTGCGATGAAATCACGGCCATGGGAGCAACCTTGGAGTCTATCCAGCCCAACCCTCTGATCGGCGCCGCTTCTGCCCTGGAGGACGAGCTCTGCCATTTAGCATGCGGTAAATGCCATGGGGAGATGACAGGCTTCCCTTGCAGAAAATCACCCGGAGAGGATACGGATTCCGTCCTTTGGGGAGCCGATCGATTCTCTGTCCCCCCCCCCCTTCTTTCCGCGCTCTCTTCCTCTCCCTTTCTTTCCCTCCCTCTCCCGTCTCTGTCTCTTTCCCTTTTGCTCCCTCCGTCTGTCTGTCTGTGTCTCTTGGACTCTCTCTCCCACTCTCTCTCTCTCTTGCTCTCTCTCCCTGTCACTTTCTCGCTTCCACTCTCTCTCTCTCTTCGTCTGCCTGTCTCTCTTTTGGCCTCTCTTTTCCACTCGCTTTCTCTGTTGGTCTCTCTTTCTCTCACTTTTTTCCCTTTCCCTCCTCTCTCCCTCCTGGCTGTCTGCCTCTCTATCCCACTCATTCTCTCTCTCCCTCGCGCTCTCCCTTTGTTTTTCCCTCCCTCCCCCCCCCACAAACACACACACAATCTCTGGCAGAACTTGACATCTTGTGGTGCTTTCGATATATTTTGAGAGCTTGATGCCTGCTGATGTTTCCCTCTTTTGGAGACCACATCCTCATAAAACTGTGATCAGAGTTGCCAGGACCATATCCTTTTCGTTTTCTCCTCCTTCACCTTCCAGACCAGATGAAGAAGCTAGGAGGGGCGATCCCTGTTTCCATCCTCCAAACATCCATAAAAGCCTGCCTGAAGTGACATATTTGATCCAGATTATTTTTTACCTATCCATACATAAATCCCAGGAGACGCATCTATGTTTCCCTAAGACAGGAGTGTCAAACTCAATTTCATTGAGGGCCGCATGAGCATTGCAGTTGCCCTGAGGGTGTGTGTGGCCAGGGTGGGTGCGGCCTACTGGGTGGACGTGGATGGAGTGGGTGTGACCTATTCAGTGAGCATGGCCAGCTCGTGTCAAGGGTACCTGTGGAGACCTGGGCAGGAGTGGGACAGATATGAGGGCCTCTGGCCGAAGGGGGTGGGACCTGGGCAAGTGCCAAGGCATGGTCCACTGGAGGAGCCTCACTCTTCCTCTCAAGCCATGCGTGGGGGACCTGGATGGTGGCGTGGGCTGCCTGGAGCCCTGAGCAGCAGAGGTCAAATGCCCAGCCTGGCCCTTGAGCACCTGCAGCATCAAGCCCAGCCCCACTTCCCCAAGGGGGCACACAGCTGCATTTACCTCCTCCTCAAGGCTGCTGCTGCTGTGCTTGCTCTCCTTAGCCAGCTTGCTCATGATGGGTACAAGGGCAAAGTCAGAGGGAGGCCCATTCCCTCTCCATGGGAGGAGACCTGGCTTTGTATCCAAAGTTTCCTTAGCAATAGGATGGGAGACCCCCAGGATAGACCAGAAGGAGGGGGCAAGGGGATGGTGTAAGGGCAGCATGAGTTTTGTATCATCACAAGTGCTGGGATGCAGGACAGAGATCAATAGACAGTTTGACATTTGACTTGCCTTCTGTGCCCTCAAGTCAGGCTCAGATCTTGGGGACCATTTAGAGATTTTGTCCAGGACAATCTCTTTCTACCTGGCTTCTTTTCCAGTGATGATCCACTGCCGCTAAGCCTTGTCCATCCACCTGGAGCTTATTGTCCTCTTTTACAGAACGCAATTCTGCTTTTTGGTGGGTTCCAGAAACATCTCTTTCTTCCACCCTCAGCCTGGACGGAGCTGAGAAAGGGGAGCCCCAACCCAGAACAGGAATTCAGCCTCTTCTCTGTTGGGAGACCACCAGGAGATCCTATGTCTACAAGGGGAAGCTGCCAAACGCTTTCCAGGGTCTGAGGGGAAGCACTGGGATCCCTTTGTCAAGATCCAGGAAGTCCCCAACCCAGAGGGTCACTTCTGTTCCTGCTTTTCTGGCTCTGAGGCCTCAAGCCCAGTTGTTGCCTCGCCTCGAGGGGGTGTGTGTGTGTGTGTGTGTGTGTGTCAGTCAGTCAGTCAGTCTTTTCTCAGAGCGAAGTGTCTCTCTGTGTGTGTGTGTTTGTGTGCCTGTGCGCGCGTGCGTGCGTCGGTCAGTCAGTCTTTCCTCAAGGAGAAGTAGATTCCCGCCCAGCACAGAAGCAGCTGAAGACACCCAGCAACTCCCTTCGCGCCCAAACCTGACAGGTGCTTCTCTCCTGCCATTGGCTCTCGCCAGGCTCACGTGACCCGGAGTGCTCCCACCCACCCACACCCTCAGCCCCGCCCTCCCACACGAATGCCAGGCGCCCTGAGGTGGGAGGGGCAGCCTCGCTCGCTCTGAGGAGGACTGGCCTCTCTAGGACTCCGCGCTCGCTGCTGTAACCCCTTCATATCCGCAGGCGGCAAAGAAATCGCAGGGACTAAAGGAGGCGGAGAGAGAGAGTTCTCTTCAGCTCTGACCGGATGGTGGGGAATGGAAGGATTAGTTAGAGCTGAAGAAGCTCCTTGGAGGAGAAGTGAAACGTCTTCAAAGAAAAGCAAGAAAGTCCAGTTGGCTCCTGAAAAATACATCTTTGGGACAACCAGGACCTGGAAGACGGAGAATCTCCATAGACCTTTCCTGGGAAAAGCCTCGGGGAAGGGAGAGAGAAGGTTTTTTTTTTTGCATTGCAAATTCAAGCAGGTTATTTATTTATTTATTCCCCGTTTTGCTACCCTGTAAGCAATTCAAGGCGGCGAACGTCAGAACAACCGCCCTGTGAGGTTGTGCTGATCTTGTTAAAATGATTCTTTTGCATCTTAGAATAGAATAGAGTAGTTGGAAGGGAACTTGGAGGTCTTCTAGTCCAACCCCCTGCTATTAATGCCACGCCTCTAATTGCCGCAGTTTCAGCTAGAAGAAAGGAATCAGTCCGGTGACCAGTCGGTCTGGATCGCGGGAGGGGGAAGGGGGGGAGACAATCATTGCTGGGATCTGCTTTGGATCCCGGGTCGATCCCGCAAAGCTGCGGAAAAGACAATCGGAGAGGGAGCCATAGGGGGCGCCCGCCTCAATGTGAGAGGCTGAGCGCCACTGCGCACGCTCCGCCACGTCTGCCCAGCTGGGGAGGAGCGGCTGTGAGCTATGACCTGGAAATCTGGGGAGGGAAGGCGGGCAGGAAGGGGTCCCCCAACCCCGAGTCTCCCCGGGGAAGGAAGTAGCTGGAGGGAAGGCTAAAGGAGCCACCTGCTCGCATGTGGATAAACCAGGTTTGCTTCCCAGCATTTCCATGCAAAAAAAGAATTTTGGCAAGGGGGGGGCTTCCCTGCCTGGCGCTCCTCCACCCTCTGCCAACGGACCCCTTTCAAGCTTTTGGGTGAGGGATTGAAAAGACCCCCAGGAGTTTTTCTCAGTGGCGCTGAAGGGCACCTCCAGAGAAGACCCTCCCTGAATTGGGGAGGGGGGCTGCATGTCAAGAGTTTGATGGGAAGGAGGGAGACACCTTCCACTAAGAGTGAACCAATAGGATTTTGCCCCTCTCCAAACTGTCCTGAATTTGATGAAACTGTCACTTTCTGAATGAGAACAGTCTGTGTGATTTCTGAAATTTCTTTTCCTTTTCCACTTCAGATGTAAAAAACTGGAGGCCTCTCGAGAGCTGAATGGCTTGAAACTCTTCTCTGGGATTCTCTGGGCAACTCCCTCAAATCCCGGGACTGAAAAAAACCTTTCCAGACTCAGGAGATCCACAGGGCCCTTCTGGATCCCTGTCAGAGAAGAGACTGGAAATGGATGCAAACCAGCCAGCTGGGAAGCGAGTGGGAAAAGGCCCTGCTGCTGCTCAGCTGGGAAGCTGTGAGGAGGTCTGGGCAGGACCTGGGCAGAAGATCCTGGAGGAAGCTCTTAGTTCTGAGATTCAGCACTGGCGCTTCAGGAACAGCCCCTTTCAGGAGGCTGAGAGACCACGAGAGCTTTGCAGCCGCCTTCACCGCCTTTGCTGGGGGTGGTTGCAGCCCGAGAAGCACACCAAGGCTCAGATGTTGGACCAGGTGATCTTGGAGCAGTTTCTGGCTGTCCTGCCTGGGGAGATGCAGTGCTGGGTGCGCGAATGCCGAGCAGAGACCAGTTGCCAGGCGGTGGCCCTGGCTGAAGGCTTCCTTCTGACCCAAGTAGAGAAGGAGCAGGGAGGACACCAGGTGAGAGATGTTCCTCTTGGGAAATATGGAGGAAGCTTAAGGTGTGGAATTCTTCAATGTATCCCTAACAGTTTTGGAGATTGATACATCTTAATAATCTCTGTTCACTGATTTCAGGACACAGCGCTTGCCACGTTGAAAATGAAAATGTAGTTCTTATATTCTTTTAACTCCTTTTTTGTCAAAATTTCAGGTTCTGAGGTCCTTCATGGAGGTAGGGACTAATTTTCCTGAGGAAAGGATGAATCCCACAAATCCCTCTCGGGATCCATGTTTTAGAGGACTCTACAAAGAGGAAGGTCAATGTCAAGACACCTCACTAGGTAACGGGGTCATTCTACAAGGTTGGAGATTTTCCAAAGAGATTCTAGTTATTCTTCATTCCATCAGAGATGGAAAGGGGAGTAACCTATCTTTAGCCTTCCTTGAGAGATAATTTGGAGTAAATTCTGACACATATCCCTGCTGGACCCCCTCTAACATTCTAACTTTCTAGCTTTCCTTGCAAGTGTGTTCTTGGGATGCCAGAATTACATCATTTGTCCGTCTATGTGGAACGGGTTGTTTTCAAGGGGTAGTGGGAGCATATACAGTGGTGGCCAAAATTGTGGAAGCCTTTTGGGAAAAGTATACAGGAGAAATGCCGCCTTTGGTTAAGTTTCCACCAATTTTTCTTCTAATTTCTTTATAACTGTAGCCTTGTTCACTTAATAATACTATTTTACATCGCTTTCTGAGCAACCAGTCAACTCTTTGCACCATGAGTTTAATTTTATTACGTTTTACAAGCTCACTAAATGAAAGAACACAAAAAATCCCAACCGACTTGATAGCGATCACATAACACACTGACCAATGTCCTTCTCTCAGCTTCAGTACATGACATCAATAACTGAATCCTACTGCGATCTGATTGGCTCATTGCCAAAACAAGATGACAACAAGATGATTGACTCTCTAAACACTCATGCTCATTGGCTACAATCAGATGAAGGGAAGCTACCTGATATCGACCTAAGCAAGTTGTGCTTCCTTTTTCTGGTTATTTGGCTATAACTTTTCATAGAATACAGTACAGATAATTGAACACAATATGTTGCATTACAATCTTGATTAAATTATATTTCCATTGATATATAATTTTATGGTACTACTACCCCCCCAAAAAGTGGTGTTATTAGCCATCAAATCTCAAAAATTCATTTTTCCCAAAATGTTTCCACAATTTTGGCCACTACTGTATTACGGTTGAGTGAATGCTTTGGTTGGCAAGAGTATACTTGTGTATACTTGTTTGTCCCTGCCCAAAAGGCTAAGAGAGAGGCCCAATTGGGGTTTGTGTCCCAGTGCATGGTGGGACTGTACTCTTCTCTTTTTATTCTTGGATCCCAAGATGGAGCCTTGAAAGACTGCCAAAAGACGGGATGATGGATGGAGGTTTCCTCCCCAGGGCAGGAAGAAATACTAAGTTGTTGCTTCAAGATAGAAAAGATGGAGCTGATCCCTTCCCTGCTCTCTTGTCTTTTTCCCAGGGAACAAAATGGAGTCGCTGTTATTCATCCACTCATCTCCACATACTGGTGGAGCTGAAAGAACAGCTGGACCTTCAGCTCAGGTAGGAAAGAAAAGATCAAAAGCTAATATGGGGAAACAGTTGAGACCTCCAGTTTCATTTGGGATTTCCGTTTATGATATTGTTGTTCCCGAGTGATGTGGAACAGGAAAATTAGATTCAAGTATAAACACTCGACTTAGAACACAGAACATAGAATATCAGAGTTGAGAGAGATCTTAGAGATCTTCTATCTAGTCAAAACCCCTGCTCGAGCAGGAGACATTGTACCATTTTAGACAAATGGTTATCTAGACCTTTCTTAAAAGTCTCCAGTGATGAAGCACCCATAACTTCTGTGTCATGGTTCCAACAGATGAAACTCTTCAAAGAACTTTGAGGCATTGTTTACTTTAAAGAATCTTTATTCGAGCAGCATAGCTTCAGCATCGTACATAGTCAAAGCCAAAATCTGGATTTCCCTCCCCTTAGCACACAGTATCAAACACAATTCCCTCCTCTAATTAACAGTCATAAATCACTTTCTCCAATTAGTTTGAACTGCAGGCTTTCTCTCCTGTTCTCCAACCCGCCATTTCTTATCATCTCTTATTTCAAGCTCTGAATTCACACACTAGTACAATATTGTTATGTCTAACTAACTCCCATCACATTCCTCCTCCTCCCCCAGTATCATCTAATTCTAAGAGTAAAGCATAAGAAAGAAAAAGGCCGCAACTCCATATGTTGTCAAAGCAAGAACATTCAAAGGTAGCACTGTTGACATTCTGAAGGAAAGCGGTTCCACTGGTTAATTGTTCACTGTCAGGAAGTTTCTCCTTAGTTCCAGGTTGCTTTTTTCCTTTTCCTTTTCCATTAATTCTTGTCTTGCGTTTGGGTGCTTTGGAGCAGGGCTTTTCAACCTTTTCACCCATTGTACCACTTTTAGGATATGGCAACATACGAGTACCACCAGTCGTCTAGCAAGGTGTCAAAAAGTTGACCCCCACCCAAAAAAGGAAAAAAGTGATAAAGTACAGGTAGTCCTCGACTTACAACAGTTCGCTTAGTGACTGTTTGAAGTTACAATGGCACTGAAAAAGTGTCCCCCAAGCAACAGCCGAGCAAGACACCTGTCTGCCCACCCGGCGGCACTCTTCCTTCTGTCCGAGGTTTTCATTGTTGTGAGCATTTGTTGAGGATTGACAGCGGGGGTGGGGTGGGGGGTGTTTGGTTTTTATTCCCCCCGTCTGCTGGGTGGTTGCAGCAGGTTTTGGTCACTTCACATTACCCTGGAACACCGTGACCGTCATAAATATGAATCAGTGGCCAAGCATCTGAACATAAATCACAAGACCCTGGAGATGCTGCAACATTCCAGCTTATCGACGCTTCTTCTGAGCTCAGCAGAAGCGCCAGGATCAGCGCTGAGCTCCAGCTGGAGCCTGGCGCTGATCCTGGTGCTTCCACTGAGCCCTGACAGTCCTGAAGAAGTGCTGATCCTGGCGCTTCTGCTGAGCCCTGACAGCCCTCCAGCTCCAGCCATCTCTCGCTCAGGCTTGTGCGGTGCTGCCGATTCAGTTCATTCCCCTCCCCCGTTACTTTTCTAGGGTGGTCACGTACCAGGTGCCAATGTACCACAGGTGGTACCCATACTACTGGCTGAAAAGCCCTGCTTTGGAGAATAGATTAACCTCTTCTTTTTTGTGGCAGCCCTTCAAATAGTGGAACGCTGCTATCATCTCTCCCCTGGCGCTTCTTTTCACTAGACTAGCCATATCCAGTTCCTGCAACCTTTCGTCATATGTTTTAGTTTCTAGTCCCCTAATCATCTTTGTTGCTCTTCTCTGCAGTATTCCCATAGCCTCAACTCTTCCAAACTCTTACTCTTCTCAATTCTTCCAAAGGCTTAACTCTCAGGATGGTTTTGGAAATGCATCCCTAACTTTAATGGTTATACTGCTGGAGTCCAAATATATAGTTCACACTATGAAATGTAAAAAGCTGTAAAACAAAACTGTTAGGCAAAGCAATAGGGACGTCTGAAGCAGTGCCAGCTGTTATCATTTTTGGAAAACCAGTAATAAGGCTGCCAGCTTCACTTGCATAAATATAGCTAGTCAGTTTATGATCACAGTTGGGACAGGAATTTCCATTGTAAAACACTGTGGTTGTTGAGGCTGTTGAGTAACCAATTGAGTTGAGTAACCAGTTATGTAACAGATCATGATGATTAAGCGGGTCGCATGTCATAAGTACAGAACCCAACTTAACCAATGGCTTTTTTTTGCCAGAAAACATAAAAGTGAACTGGTTTCAAAGTGCACGAATTGCAATTCTGTGACTGTGGGTATTGGTGCGACTGTTTCCAATGGTCTTAAGTGATTTTTTCAAAGACAGTTCTCATTCATCATTAAGTGAAATACGATAATTCTAGGAGAAAAGGCATACATTGAGAATTATTCCTTGTTTTCAAAGAGTTAAGAGGTATTAATACCACTTTACAATGCCTTGGTAAGGCCACACTTGGAATACTGCATCCAGTTTTGGTCACCGCAATGTAAAAACATGTTGAGATTTTAGAAAGAGTGGAGAGAAGAGCAACAAAGATGATTAGGGGACTGGAGGCTAAAACATATAAGGAACGGTTGCTGGAATTGGGTATGTCTAGTTTAACGAAGAGAAGGATGAGGGGGGACATGATAGCAGTGTTCCAGTATCTTAGGGGCTGCCACAAAGAAGAGGGAGTCAAGCTATTCTCCAAAGCACCTGAAGGCAGGACAAGACGCAATGGATGGAAACTAATCAAGGAGAGAAGCAACCTAGAACTAAGGAGAAACTTCCTGACAGTGAGAACAATTAACCAGTGCATCAACCTGCCTCCAGAAGCGGTAAATGCTCCAACATTATTTGTCTGAAATGGTATAGGGTTTCCTGCCTGAGCAGGAGGTTGGACTAGATGACCTCCAAGATCCCTTCCAACTTTATTATTATTATTATTGTTGTTGTTGTTGTTGTTAAAACTTTTTTTCCTGAGCTAAGCCGATTTTTAAAAAAGGGTAAAGACTGGAGACAATCCTGACTTCATCTTGGCTTCTAGGAACTGCAGAATAACAGAATACAGAATAATATAGTTGGAAGGGATCTTGGAGGTCATCTAGTCCAACCTTCTGCTCAAGCAGGAGAACCTATACCACAAGTGGCTGTCCAGTCTCTTCTTAAAGCCTCCAATGAGGGAGAACCCATGGGCTGCATTAGACAAGTGATTTTCTATTGGCCTATGTCCAGGTTTTTTTTTAACACTTTGGATTAGAAAAGAGATAAAAGGATAAGATAAAGGAAAGGGATAAAGTGGTCCCTCATTCTGTGACTTACCAGGAGTGAACCTGCTTAGCTGAGAAAGTCAACTGAGGGCTGGAGTTGTCAATTGGTAGAATCCAATTTATAGTAACCAATCACATGAAATTTTTCAGTAGATAGGAATACAGTTAATGCACATACAATAATTTTAATAATCTTCAGGGAGAACCTGCTGTCCTACATCGCTTAGATCAGTGATGGCGAACCTTTTAGACACCGAGTGCCCAAACTGCAACCCAAAACCCACTTATTTATCGCAAAGTGCCAAGGCTGCATCAGCATTGCTGCATCAGCATTGTGGTGCCCTCGGGGGGGTGTGGGGGCATGGCCCACTAGGTGGGCGTGACTGCAGTGGTCATGGCAGACTGGGTGAGTGTGGCTGGGGCCAGTCCCTCGCCATCTCCGGGGCATCCCCCCGGGGCCAAAGCCACTTGCTTGCTTACTTCCTACCCTGTCACTTCCAAACGCCACATGCTCACTACTCTGGCAAACTGCTGGGGCAATGGTCCGTGTGCCCACACAGAGGGCTCCGAGTGCCACCCCTGGCACGCGTGCCATAGGTTCGCCACCACTGGCTTAGATGGAGAGGATGGTGTGTGTAACAACCCCTTTAGAGTTCAGGGGACGGTTTTTTCACATAACATGTTGAATCCAGCTGGGGAAAAGTCCAGCTAAGAATTATAACTCCATGTTTTTAGCATTTGCAGATTAAAAGAGATCTTGCACATTCTTCCTGACTCTGCTCATAAAGATTGTTCCTCGTTCAGGGTCCTGTGTCCTTTGATGAGATGGATGTTCATTTCACCAATGAAGAATGGTCGCTGCTGGATCCCGACCAGAAAGCCCTGTACCAAGAAATAATGTTGGAGACGTCTAGGATTGTAACCTCTTTAGGTAAGGGTTTATCTAGAAGAAAATTAAGTAAGACTGAGGAGTCATTGGACTGTTTATTTACAGCCCAGGATATCTGTGCAGAACTTGTTAAAATGGTTTTTTGTCTTTTCTCTTTTCATTTTATATTAATTCCAGTCCACCTCTGTGGTCTTCTAAGTACCATAGTATCAACCTCCAGCTCAAATATCCAAATAAAGTCCAGGATTTCTTCCATTTCTGAAAATCTTACTGGTTTATTGAATACATGACATAGTATAGGCCAGGGGTAGGCAACCTTGGCTCTTCTATGACTCATGGACTTCAAGTCCCAGAATTCCTGAGCCAGCATGGCTCAGCTTGGAAACCTCTCCCTTTCCCCTCAGCATGGCTGGCTCAGGAATTCTGGGAGTTGAAGTCCACGAGTCATAAAAGGGCCAAGGTTGCCTACCCCTGGTATAGGCAGAGGAAAACTAACTCTAAAATCCCAAGACATCTAATCAAAGCATATATCAATGACATTCCCAACCAAACCTCCCAGATGTCCACAGAGTTCATGTAAACACATTCTCATTGTTTAGATAACTGTCTGCTATCTTCTTCACAGCGGTTAGAATGTCCTTCAAAACTTCCATACATCTTTTCTCAACAAATGTCTGCAGAACTGGAGAGGGTTCGTTTCTGTAACTAACCCATTTGAAGCCTCATCTCTACCCTGCCCCTTACTCTAAGGACAAAATGAAAACAATAAGGCAGGTAGCTGCCAGGTTTTCACTCTTGACACATAGTATCATTTAGAAGAAAGGAACTGGTTAGAGATAGTTGGTCTGGAGAGTTAACAAGCAGGCTTGTGATCTTCTATATCAATACTGCAGAACTATTGGGAATATAATCAGAGAAGGGTGATTTTGCTTATTTCACTTGTCCTAATTAGCCATATTTTTTTCTTGGAGTGATATTGTAATGATAGGTATGTTGTGGCTTTAGCACATCAGACACAAGGGTGTATGCTACATCCTGTCAAGATCTAGGCTGCAGGACACTGCATTAGTTATTATGTTGTCTTATGTTCTGCATTTAAATTGTTGTCAGACACCCAGAATTATACGAGTTGAGCAGCCACGCCAATGTTTTAAGTTAAGAAATAGCATTCATGCTGTCATTTTTCCTTTTGTTCTCCCTCCAGATGTCCAGGAATAGGTGTAGGCTAGGGATTGTCATGGGGATTGCAAACTATATGTTGTAGAGTTTCTGATATCTTTTTCTCCTCCCCCGAGAAGTTGATGCACAGAAAAATGAAAATTATCGAGAGCCACGTGTGGTGCCATCACAAATAATCGAAACTGAAATACGAGAACAGCAATGTGCAGATAAGTGGGGAAGAAGGAGATATGAGAAAAAAGAATCTTACACTTGGAGAGAAAACTTGACCTTTGAATGTGTGGAAATGGATAACTTCCAGATTCAACATGATTTCAAAGGAAGCAGTACGGGAAAGTGTCGAGGAAATGGGAAGAGATTCAAACTGAAACCCAATTTCAGTAATTGCTGCAAAATTGGAAAAAACTTCAGTTATAACACTAAAATTATCCCATATAAAATAATCCATGCAAAGGAGAAGCCCTACAAATGTTTGGACTGTGGAAAGAACTTTAGGTGGAGAGGTAATCTTAACTATCATAAAAAGATCCATTTGGGGGAAAAGCCCTTCAAATGTGCAGAATGTGGAAGAAGTTTCAATATGAACAGTTCCTTGACTTATCATAAAAGGATCCATATGGGAGAGAAACCCTATAAATGCACGGACTGTGGTAAAAGCTTCACTATGAACAGTGCCTTTACTTTTCATAAAAGAATCCATATGGGAGAGAAATCTTACAAATGCCTGGAATGTGGAAAAAACTTCAGCACCAAAAGTTATCTGACCTCCCATAAAAGGATCCACACAGGGGAAAAACCATATAAATGCGTAGACTGTGGAAAAAGCTTCAGTATGAAAAGTTCCTTTACTTACCATAAAAGGATCCACATGGGAGAGAAACCATATAAATGCCTGGAATGTGGGAAAAGCTTCAGTATGAATAGTTCTCTAACATATCACAAAAGGATCCACACAGGAGAGAAACCCTATAAATGTCCGGAGTGTGGAAAGAGCTTCAGCAGCAGCAGTTATCTAACTTCCCATAAAAGGATCCATACAGGGGAAAAACCCTATAAATGCATAGAGTGTGGGAAAAGCTTCAGTTTGAACAGTTCCCTTGCTTCTCATAAAAGGATCCATACAGGAGAGAAACCTTATACATGCACGGAGTGTGGAAAGAGCTTCAGCAGCAGCAGTTCTCTTACTTGCCATAAAAGGATCCATTCAGGGTTGAAACCTTATATATGCAATGAATGTGGGAAGAGTTTTATTTCAAGCAGCTCCCTTACGAAACACATTAGTATCCACTCGGGGGAGAAATTATATCCTTGTACGGAGTGTGGGAAAAGCTTTCGACTGAATAGTCACCTAACTTCCCACAAGAGAATGCATACTGGAGAAAAACCCTATCGATGCACGGACTGTGGAAAAAGCTTTAGTATCAATAGTTCCCTTACTTCTCATAAGAAGATCCATTCAAGGTTGAAACCATACATATGCAAGGAATGTGGGAAGAGTTTTGTTTCTAACAGCTCCCTAACGAATCATGTTTGTATCCACCTAGGTGAGAAACTATATCAGTGTACAGAGTGTGTGAAAAGTTTCAGGTGGAAAAGTCACCTAATTTCTCATAAAAGGATGCATACAGGAGAGAAACCCTATAAATGCATGGACTGTGGAAAAAGCTTCAGTAAGAACAGTTCCCTTACTTCTCATAAAAGGATCCATACGGGAGAAAAACCCTATGAATGCACAGAGTGTGAGAAAAGATTCAGCAAGAGCCGTTACCTTACTTCCCATAAACGAGTCCACACACGGGAGAAGCGATAAATATGCTCTGAATATGGAAAGAGTTTTTGTGAAACTCTTATGCTGCCTAACAGAAATGGGGAAAAAATATACATGCATGATATGTGGAAAGAAATTTATGTGGAGCAATCAACTTACTTTCCATAAAAGGACCCACATGGGGAACATGTCTTTTGGGATTGAAGTGTTCTGAATTCCTGTAAAAGGATTGGCTGTAATATCAAACGTATACAGTAAATGCAGAACTTCACTCAAGAATTATGAACTGATGTGTCTAAAGGCTCCATACAAGGGAAATAGCATGTAAGCATGTAGTGTGGAAAGAGCTTCAAATGCTTTTCTTTCTGCATGTGCCTTGCAGATAGGTTTTTTTTTTTTTAAATTTCTGATGATACCAGTCCCTGCAGGGTTTTTTTGGCAGGGTTTTTCAAAGTGCTTTGCTATTGCTGCCATCATGGGGTTGAGAGAAAGTGACAGGCCCAAAGTCACTTAATGTCTAAAGTGGGACTCCAAGTTTCCAGCCTGGTCTCTTAACCACTGCACCAAGCTGGTTTTTTCAAGTGGAATAGAAACTTTATTTTTGGAAAATAAGTTATTGCAGGTACACGCGGGAGAAACATTAGAACGCATAGAACGTGGGAATAGTTTGAGAAGGAAATGTCTACTTGGGAAAGGAATCCATAAATGCAGGGAGAATGGGAAGAAGTTAAGCAAAAACAGGTTCCTTAATTCCCATGAAAAGATCCATATGGAAGAACCACAGATACATGTGTCTGGGAGAAGAATGATCAAGTAGGTGTCTTGAGAACTTCAATACAAGGCGCTCTTATTTCCCAGAAAAAGTTTCACATAGGAGAGAATGTAGATATAAATACATGGAACACCAAGAGAGTCAGCCTTTTTATTTGTCTTATTTTCTGTAAAAGTATCAACTCTTAAGGGTCCAGTAAGTACAATGATCCCACAGAAAAAAGTGAACAGAGGATTGTCATAGGAGAAACTGAATAAATGTATGAATTATGGAAAGAGCTCCCAAGATAGATTTTTTTAAATACCAGAGATATAACCTAGTTAGTTATATCTGCTCACAAGAATCTTTTATTAAACTGTCCTGCTTATTATTATGCCAGTATTTGTCAAGACCTGTGCCTGGTCAGTTTGCTTTATTTAGGTAGAAGCAACATCTTAAGTTGTTCTGGGATCAGGTTGCAGGCTTTGTGGAGAGCTACATATGTAAGCAAAGCAGGGGGAAATGTATGTTTGTACGTGTATGTGTACTTTAGCTCTAATTATAAATACCTGCCTTCCTTCAATATATAGCCAAGTATTTAAGCTCTTAGTTCTTTGTTTTTTATGTATCATGATGTACATTAGTTGTGGTTTATCTGTGAAACATCTTTTCCAGATGTTTATATGTACATGCCCGTTTGGTTGAGTATGTTTCTGGTTGCAAAATCACATTAATCCTGCTGTAAAGAGAAGTGTGGCCAGTGAGGTTATGATTGCAACTATTGCCTCTTTACTTTAAAAATGTTTATGGACATCCAGGTCATGGTTGTCCCAAAATGCTTTTTCAAGAGGCAACTGGGCTTTCTTTTTTTTTTTCTTTGAAGACATTCCACTTCTCATCCAAGGAACTCAGAGTAGATGAAGCTTCTTGGATGAGAAGTGAAATATTTTCAAAGAAAAAACAGAAAGTCCAGTTGCCTCTTGAAAAAACACCTTTGGGATTACTTTAAAAATGTTTTTATGAATCCAACAGTGTATTCATATGAACAATATTTTTTAAGAAGGGAACTAAACAGCTTGATTTAAATTACTCAGTGTCTTCTAACAAGGATCATATTTTCTAACCTCTTATTATTAAATATATATATCATTCATATCAAAGAGAATCCTTTCTGGCTTTGTTACATTTCCAGACCACTGAATTTGTCAAGGATTTCAATATCACTTTGGTACCACTGTATATTTGGTGATATCAAAGTAATCAGAAAGGTCAATCCTATTTGAAATTTTAGAGGACCGTGGCACTGCCAATTGGAGAAATCTTGTGTTGGTGTGATTGTGACTGTGTTTTTTACCTTACTATAGCTTTTAAAAAATGTTTCTGTATGTTCTGATTAACTGTATTTCTCATTTTGGAGGGTTATTATAATAAATTATGGGAAAGAGTTGTTGCACAATACAAATGATGCCTCTACATCAGGGGTTCCCAACCTCCGGTCCGTGGACCTGCACTGGGTCACAGCATGCCAGAAACCAGGCCACACAAAGAAGTGAAACCCCATCTGCAGAATGCAGGTAGCACACAAAACTATGACCCCTCTGGTCCACAGAAAAACATCCCCATGGAACCCGTTCCTGGTGCCCAACAGGTTGGGGGTCACTGCCCAGAAAAAAAAACAAATGAATATGTGGGAGAAGCTTCAGTGAGGGGAGAGAAATGGAACAGACAGAAAGTGCTAGAAAGTGGTAGAAGGAATTCACATCAAACTCAGTATCAAAGGATTCCCACTCCACAGATGGTGAATGTATAGAAATCCATGGAATATGAGAAAAACAGCACCAAGGCAGATGAACCTATACATGAAGCAACAAAGGGGAGAAAGCAGTGCCTCTAAAAATGTAGGAAGATTCATTACGTTCCTCACAATGCGAGGGTTTTTTTTCCAGAATTTTCCTAAATTATGTAATTTGACATCTGTGGAAATAATCCATGCAGCACTGATGGTGCTTTGGCCAATTTTATCTTTCTTTATATCTGAGAACTCAGAGGGGAACCAGAGAAGCCTTTTGCTGTGTGCGGGTGGAGGGGGCCCCTGAGGGAGAAGAGGGGATGGAGGAGGCCTAATTCGGAGTCAGGCCAAGAGAAAGGAAGAGTCGAGTCCTGAGGAACCCCACAGAGCCCCGATGGCGGTGTTTCCCTCAGAGCCGTGTGTCTTTCTTTCTCTCCCCTCTCCCTGCCAACAGATGCTCCTCCCACGTCTCTTGGAACTTTTTCCTACCTTTTCCTGCTTCCCACATTCGATGCATTGAATTGGAGACACCTCGATGTGTTTGGGCATGATGGGCCCCTAAGAGCCTCGAGGGAGAAGAGTGGCCCCAAAGGAGGCCTCATCCACAGTCTGACCGAGAAAAAGAAGTCGAGGCCATCTCTGAGGAGCTCCAAATAAGCCCGATAGCAGCTCTTCCCTCAGGACCGCATCTTCCTCTCAACGGCCTTTCCCGCCTTTTCCCATCTCGCCGCCTGAGCGAATCGCACAGGGAGGGGCGTGGCCAGAAGAAAACCGGGGAGGTCCCGTCTCCCTTGCCCTGCAGCCTTTTCCCCAACATCTCCGCGGGGGGGAGGTCCCAGTCCTCTTCTCCCCCCCCAGCCTCTCCCCCCCAGAGGCTCCTCCCACGTCTCTTGGAACTCTTTTTCCTGCCTTTTCCTGCTCCCCACATTCTATGCATTGTATTGGAGACACCTCGATGTGTTTGGGTATGATGGGCCCCTAAGAGCCTCGAGGGAGAAGAGTGCCCCAAAGGAGGCCTCATCCAAAGTTTGACCGAGAAAAAGAAGTTGAGGCTGTCTCTCAGGAGCCCCGAAGAAGCCCGGTGGAGGTGCTTCCCTCAGAACCGCGTCCTTCTTTCTTTCAACGGTTTTTGCCGCCTCGCCGCCTGAGGGAATCTCACGGGGAGGGGCGTGGCCAGAAGGGAAGCGGGTAAGGGGAGGAGTCTTGCAAGGTCCCGGCTCCCTTGCCCGGTAGCCTGTTCCCTAACATCTCCGCGGGGGGTCCCAGTCCTCTTCTCCCCCCTCCCCAGCCTCAATGGGGCTGTCCCCCAAGCGTGGCCCTGCTCTATCTGGGTTGGGGGCTACCTGAACCAGGGGTACTACACTGCTTTTGGATGTGATGGCCAAGATCCTTGAGGGGGCTAGAAAGGGGCTCCTGGGGAAAACGTTGTGTGGGGGTGGAGGGGCCCCTGAGGGAGAGGAGAGGCCCAGAAATAGGCCACATCCAGAGTTTGACCGAGAAAAAGACGTTGAGGCCGTCTCTCAGGAGACCCGAAGAAGCCTGGTGGAGGCGCTTCCCTCAGAGGCACGTCCTTCTTTCTTTCAACGGCTTTTCCCGCCTCGCCGCCTGAGGGAATCGCACTGAGAGGGGCGTGGCCAGAAGGGAGACGGGGGGAAGGGAGGAGCCTTGCAAGGTCCCGTCTCCCTTGCCCTGCAGCCTTTCCCTCAACGCCTCTTCTCGACGTCCTAGCCCCTTTCTTCCCCTTCTGGGGGGGGGGTTTCTCCTTCTTCCCCCTTTCCCTTCCAGGGATCCTTGCCAGCTGACCCACCAGCAACAACGGTGACCCCAGCAGAGCCCATGGAGGCTTCCCGCAAGCCCCCTCCCAAGAGAGGAAGGGGAGAAGTGAAATTGGGAGGGGGGGTCTTGACAGGGATGCTTTGGAGTTGGCCTGCCAGGAATACGTTTCGCCAATGGGAATCCTCTCTTCTCTTGAGTCATCTGTCTCCGAGCAGAATCTCTTGTGATTTCTCCCTGTTGAAGAAAGCCTTTGGAGCAGAAAATGAGAAAGTTTGTTTGTGTCTGTGTGTGTGTGTGTGTGTGTGTGTGTGTGTTGTGTGCAGCTACAACTGGAGGGGACTTTGGAACTGGGTTGTCCCAAAGAGAACACAGGTGGGCCCTGAGTGAAGCAATCTCTACGGGAGACAACAATTGCTGAGATGTGGAAATCCCATTCTTAGCTGATTCAGAATGTAGCAGTCTCCTCCAGACACAACTCACTTGTTTTTCACAAGACCTTTCCCTGACGCCTATCTCCAACCTTCCAGTGCATGATCAACTCTGGCTTTCTAGAGGACTATCTGTATGTCTCTCCTCCTTCAAATCAAATGCAACATCATCTGCTTCATGGGGAGCCCGTTTCCCTGACCTACTGGGAAGTTTGAAGTCTGATAAGTCTAGAAAAAAGTCTAGTCCAGTCTAGAGAAAAGGCCTGGGGGGGGGAGACATGATAGCCAGTATTCCAGTATCTGAGGGGCTGCCACAAAGAAGAGGGGGTTGATTTATTTTCCAAAGCACCAGAAGACTAGACAAGAAACAATTGCAGGAAATTAATCAAAGAGAGAAGCAATCTGGAATTAGGGAGAAAGTTCCTAACAGGGAGGACAATTAACCAGTGGAGCAGCTGGCCTTCAGAAATTATGGGCGCTCCAACACTGCAGATTTTTAAGAAGAGACTGGACAGCCACTTATCTGAAAATGCTATAAGATCTGCTTGAGCAGGAGGCTGGAATAGAAAACTTCCAAGGTCACTTCAAGCTCTCTTCTGATTCTGATAAGAATCATGTGATGAGGATATTTTGAAAAATTATTTCTGTCTTCTGGGCTAGGGAGTGACTGTCCTTTTTCCCCTCTGCATTTTCCCCATGAACCTTAATTACATAATTATTACAAATTATATCAATACTGAAACTTGATTGATCCATGACTTGAGTCTGAAGTCTCATTTCTGAGGGAAATATTGATGTATCTCCTGGGCTTTATGTCTGGATAGGTAAAAAATAATCTGGGTCAAATTTGTTAGTCCAGGCAGGCTTTTATGGAATGTTTGGAGGATGGAAACAGGGATCACCCCTCCTGGCTTCTTCATCTGCTCTGGAAGGTGGAGGAGAAAAGCATGTGGTCCTGGCAACTGTGATCATAAATTTTATGAAGTTATAGTCTAAAAAACAGGGAAACGTGCAGGTGTCAAGCTCAAAATATCAAAAGCAACACAAGGTGTTAAGTTCTGTCAGAAGTTCTCTGTATATGTGTGAGAGAGAGGGAGGAAGAGGGAAAGAGAATGAAAGAAAGGGGGAGAGAGAGAGCAAGACAGAAAGAGCTAGAGAGGAAGACAGAGAGAGAGTGAGTGGGAGAGAGACAGAGGGAGAGAGACAGAGAGAGAGAGGGAGGAAAGAGATAGATAGATAACCTTTATTGTCATTTTTTTACTGTGGGCACAATGGCACACATTAAAAATGAAATTTAGTTGCTTGCTCTCAAAGTGTACACATACATAACACACATTTAAACATCCTCTATACAACATATATATATATATATACAGATCTACACCCTTACATATAAATAACATATAAATATTAATCCCTGTGCATCTTGAATACATAACGGAAGGAAGAAGCTTGAGAATTCACAAGGTTAATACTGTATGGACCAACACTGTGACTGAATCGGATACCACGGAGCTTCCTCCTTCCCGAAGGCAACAAAACAGATCGTGGAGAGGATATGTAGCTTCCCCGACATTCTTGCGGACCCTATTCAAGCAACACTTAGACGACACATCCTGGATGGGAGAGAGGGTACTGCCAAAGAGACAGGGAGAGACCGTGGGAGGGAGAGGAAGAGAGCGAGTGGGAGAGGCAGAGAGAGAGAGAGAGAGAGAGATTGATTCCCCTCCGGGTGACTTTCTGCAAATCGCCATTTGCGGAAGTACAAAGGGAGAACTGTCATCTCCCCACGGCATTTACCAGAAGCTAAATGGCAGAGGTCGTCCTCCAGGGCAGATTCCGCGCCGAGCAGCGGTTGAGCTGGATAGCCTCCAAGAATTCTCCCACGGCTGTGATTTCACCGTAGCTCCCAGCAGTGGGCGCTCTCTGGGCTGCAGACTGAATGTATGCCACTGCGCATGCTCGACTCCGTCTGTGTGGTAGGCCGACTGCCCTCTGTGAGTTCCTCCCCGGGAATCTGGGGGCGGGGGGCAGGCAAGATGGGGTCCCGCGACTGACATCCTCCCCAGGAGAGGGGAAACAGATTCCGAATCCCGAAGCTTGGAGGGAGTGAGGAATCCACCCCATAACTGCTGCGGGTTGTGCATGCAGAAGATCCAACAACGGGGGAGGGGAGAAAGTGGAGGGGAGAGGGGGAGCCTAAAGGGAGCATCTGCTCTCGTCTGTTTCAGACGGGAAGGATCTTCGGAGAGCCGTCAGAGACCAGTTCCCCGGCGGTGCCAGCGGCTGAGAGGTTCCTGCCGAGCCTGGCAGACGAGAAGAAGCAGGAGTAGACTAAAAGACAGAGTTGGAAGGGACCTTGGAGGTCTTCTAGTCCGACTCCCTGCTCAAGAAGGGCCCCAGGTGAGAGATGCTTTTATTGAGAAATATGCTTGAATTGTTAAATGTCTCCATTACAGAGTTTT